TAGGCTCATCAACATTAGTTAGATCTGCAATTTCACCCCAGGTCAAGGTATCACCCTCAAATACAACTTCATTCTCATTATGTTCCCCATCTCCACCCCTATCTCCTACCAACCATTCATTGCTTTCATCAATACCATTTAGGAGAATGGGATCAATCAAATCACGACTGTCAAATCGGTGCTCAAGAGTTTGGTTATATTTAATATAAACCAAGTCCTGCAACTTCTGATGTTCAAATCTACTCCGCCTCTTGAAATGAATCTATTTTATAATTAACAAATAAATATTAGTTTCACAATCAGTTATGAAGCTCTATAAAATAAAATCATTGAGCATGTACTTACATGCTCAAAAATACTCCAATTGCGCTCACATCCTGAAGAGCTGCAAGTCAGACTCATTACTTTAATGGCAATTTTTTCCAGTGCTTTTGTTTGTGTTCCATACGTCCCCCACCATTGAACTTTAATACAAAATATAATAAATAAATAATGACTAGTTAAATAAATTGTAATAATAAAAGCTTAAAGGGATAAAAAACTTACAAGGAGACACTTTATCCCTTTGTCTTTTGGTCGAGTCCATGACAAAGAGACCTCGAGCTTTCTTATATAGTTCCAATTCATCCATAACCTGGTCCATCTCATCTCCATTGGCAGTTAGCCTCTCGTAGCATTTTAAATAACCGTTAATCACTTCTAAATCTTCATCCAGCCTTGGATTAGAATAAAAATATTGAGGGTTAAGTAAGATAATGCCCAGTTGCATGCAAATGATGATGAAGTTGACAATCTCATCTTCTATCAATGATAGCTAAAATATCTCTATACTTATCTTCTCTTCCAATTCCACGAAATGCATTTTGAATTGCTTCTTTGGCTCTATCTATTGCTTCATAAATGTAACTCATTGCAGGCTTTTTTCTTTATTAACCATCCTCAGCGCACCCACAAGAGGCCCCATAGCCTTATGGCAATAAATATCATTCCAAAAAGATGTACTGAGTACTATATCAGTTGCCCTTTTCTCCTTTAGGGTCTTTGCAATCTTAGATTTTTACCACTCATAAGAAGTGAACATACTTCGGAGGTTGTTTTTCTGCTTGTACAACCTTTGTAATGTCAGGAATGTGGTGGCAAACCTTGTCACTCTATGCCTCACCAATACTGTTTTGCTTGTGAACTTTCGCACAATGTTCAATGCCAATAAATGATTATAAATGAAACCTACTAGACTGATGCCTCTTTTTATTGTCCTCTTTACTCTATCAAGCTTTCCAATGTCTTCTAGCTTCAAGTCCAAGCAATGTGCAGCACGGAGTCCAAACCAAATGAGATCTCATGGCTTGTAAAAATTTCTCTAACATCAGAAGCATAAACTTAAATAAGAAAATGAGTCTCAAATATATTGAAATATTAGCAATTGAACGAGTTTATTGTCTCTTACCGGCTAAAACATAATTGCTTCTGTTGTCGATCACCACTTGAACAATGTTTTATTCACCAATCTCCATCACAAAAGTGTCCAGAAGTTCATGTAATTTCTCACTAGTCTTCATATAAGAAGCATCAACACTCTTCACAAACAGTTCCTGATGGACAATTTACTAAGAAATTGGTCAAAGTTCTACCCTTATTGTCTGTCCATCCGTCAGACATAATAGAACATTCATAGCTTACTCTCTCTATCTCATGGTCTTTCTATAATTCCTTTGTATTCTAACTCCTTTTGAAGGAGTGTAACTCTACATTCATGATAGGATGAAACCTTCAAATGAGGACCATAGTTTCCTATAGCTTCAACCATCTACTTGAAGCTTCTAGAGCGTACAACATTGAAAGGTATCCTATTTAAATGTAGATGATGATGAGATTGAAGAGGTGCAAGAAATACATACTCTGTGAATTGCAAAAATTGCAGCAAGTGAAGCCTCTCTTAATGCCGCAAAAAAGGCAAGAGTGTGAAAGGTCTCATGGACTTACTCCTATTTAAAAAACCAGAAAACAACATCAAATTAGGAAAGAAGCAAACAAGCGTCATTGATGCTTGTGATAAAGAAGCTAGAACAAGAACTGTTCAATACATTGAGAGGTTTTTGGTAACGAATGGGATACCTTTCAATGTTGTACGCCATAGAAGCTTTAAGTTGATGGTTGGATAGGAAACTATGGTCCTCATTTGAAGGTTCCATCCAATCATGAATGTAGAGTTACACTCCTTCAAAAGGAGTTAGAGTACTCAAAGGAATTATTGAAAGAGCATGAGAGAGTAAACTATGGATGTTCTATTATGTTTGACAGATGGACAGATAATAAGGGTAGAACTTTGATCAATTTCTTGGTGAATTGTCCATCAGGAACTATGTTTGTGAAGAGTGTTGATGCTTATTCTTATATGAAGACTAGTGAGAAATTACATGAACTTCTGGACGCTTCTGTGATGGAGATTGGTGAACAAAATGTTGTTCAAGTTGTGACCGATAACGGAAGCAATTATGTTTTGGTCGATAAGTGACAATAAACTCATTCAATTGCTAATATTTCAATATATTTGAGACTCATTTTCTTATTTAAGTTTATGCTTCTAATGTTAGGGAAATTTTTACAAGCCATGAGATCTCATTTGTTTTAGACTCCATGTGTTGCACATTGCTTGGACTTGATGCTAGAAGACATTGGAAAGCTTGATAGAGTAAAGAGGACAATAAAAAGAGGCATCAATCTAGTAGGTTTCATTTATAATCATTCATTGGCATTGAACACTATGCGAAAGTTCACAAGCAAAACAGAATTGGTGAGACACAGAGTAACAAGGTTTGCCATCACATTCTTGACATTGCAAAGGTTGTATAAGTAGAAAAACAACCTCCAAAGGATGTTCACTTCTGATGAGTGGTCAAAATCTAAAACTGCAAAGACCCTAAGGGGAAAAGGGCAACTGATATAGTACACAGTATATCTTTTTAAAATGATGTTGTTTGTCTTAAGGCTTATGAGGCCTCTTGTGGGTGTGCCGAGGATGGTTGATAATGAAAAAAAGCCTACAATGGGTTACATTTATGAAGCAATGGATAGGGCCAAAGAAGCAATTCAAAATGCATTTCGTGGAATTAGAAGAGAAGATAAGTATAGAGAGATTTTAGCTATCATTGATAGAAGATTGGATTGTCAACTTCATCATCCTGTGCATGCAGCTAGGCATTATTTTAACCTTCAATATTTTTATTCTAATCCAAGACTGGATGAAGATTTAGAAGTGGTTAATGGTTATTTAAAATGCTTCGAGAGGCTAACTGCCAATGGGGATGAGATGGACCAGGTTATGGATGAATTGGAACTATATAAGAAAGCTTCGGGTCTCTTTGGCATGGACTCGGCCAAAAGACAAAGGGACAAAGTGTCTCCTCGTAAGTTTTTTATCCCTTTAAGCTTTTATTATTACAATTTATTTTCTTAGTCATAGTATTTAGTTATTATATTTTGTATTACAATTCAATGGTGAGGGACATATGGAACAGAAACAAAAGCACTGAAAAAAACTGCCATTAAAGTATTAAGTCTGACTTGCAGCTCTTTAGGACGTGAGTGCAATTGGAGTATTTTTGAGCATGTAAGTAAATGCTCAATGGTTTTATTTTATAGAGCTTCATAACTGATTATGAAACTAATATTTATTTGTTAATTATCGAATAGATTCATTTCAAGAGGCGGAGTAGACTTGAGCATCAGAAGTTGCAGGACTTGGTTTGATTGATATATAATCAAACTCTTAAGCACCGATTTGACAGTCGTGATTTGATTGATCCCATTCTCCTAAATGGTATTGATGAAAGCAATGAATGGTTGGTAGGAGATATGGGTGAAGATGGAGAACATAATGAAAATAAAGTTGTATTTGAGGGTGATACCTTGACCTGGGGTGAAATTGCAGAGGTAACTAATGCTAATGAGCCTATAGTTTACACTAGATAGCAGACAAGGTCCACTGTTTCGCCTTCAAGCTCTAAGGGAAAGGACATTATAGGAACTGAAGGACTTGAAGATGTGCCAGAACAAATGTATAATATAGATACTAGTGAATGCGAGGCTGAAACAGACTTTGGTGATGATGGAATTCAAGATTCTGATTAGTTCTTTTTGACATTTGAATATGGAAGTGGAATGGAATATGTTTTGGATATTGACAATATTTAGATCTTTTAATTGGCTACTTGGAATTCCTGTTTGTTTTGGAGCATTTTTTATTATTATTGATTGTTTTTATTTTTTAGCATATATGTGTGGTGTATCTAGGTTCTGTTAATACTTTCTGCTATTTCCGTAACCTGCTATTGCATTTTTAGGGTTGGCCGCAATCCTCTTTTAACTACTATGGCATTCCCTCAAGAATTTAATTTGTTTACTGAACTGCAAATACCATTATACCTTAGTGTATTTTTTTGAAATGACAAAATACCATCCCACTCCACCCACATTGACACTATAATCAGCACCACTGTCATTCACCACTATTGTCGCAGTCTCATTCTCACTCCTACTGTCATTGCCACTTATCACCTTTCTCACACTGCATATGGAGTTCAACCTATAAATATTACATTGTGTATTATTGTGGATATACATGACATCATTCATAAATAAAGGTTCCCTTGTGTTTTTAATTCTCATTTCTTTTTAAGGTAATGTGGAATTTCTGAACCAACTATTCCAAAAGTTCAAGCTTCAGGTTACAAGCACATGAATGTTTTTATATTTAACATACTCCCTCGTCCAAAAGTCCTTTAGACTTGAAGCATGGATAATGCATAGACCAATCTACCTAGTGATTAATTTCAACTTTTTTGTTGATAAGAATGGGGAGATAATGATTAAAATTTTACCACTTAGTCATAAAGGCTTTGATACCATGTCATTAACCAACTATCCCAAAAGCTTAAGCTTTACAATGAAGGTAAATGAATATTTTTATATTTAATAATTGATTGTGTATTTATATGCAGATATGATCCTCGAAAGCGCATAACAGCTGCACAAGCTTTGGAGCATGAGTAAGATCCCTTTTCTTCTCCTTGTTTATTCCTGTGTGAATTCTGCATACGTAACAATAAAAAGTATATTTTACATTTCTTAGGTTATTGGTATTTCTCCGTTTATAGGCATCTTTGGAAGATTCTGCTTTTTCTCCTTGTATTTTTTGTTTCTTGATATGACCTAGTTATTACGTGTACTTTGGTTTCCACGTCGTTGTTGTATTCAATATAGTTGGGGGTGCATCGGTCATATTAGTTCTTTTTTACTGTTCATCTGATAATTATCACTATACTCTGTTTGCCAGGTATTTCAAAATTGAACCACTACCTGGGCGGAAGTAAGGCCTTCTCTTTCTTACCACCCTTGGTTATTCTGGGTTGGTTTTAAGTTTTAACTCCTTAAGTTTTTATTGGATAAAACCTGTTCCTACCATTGTTGGTTACTTTTCATTTCTTCAAAATTGTTTGGAAGATTTATAAACAACATTCACATGGTTGTGTTTAAAGAGGGTGAGCCTAGAGTAGTGGAAAAGTTACTCCTTTATGACTGAAAGGTCACATGTTTGAATCCGGAAAATAGCCTCTTTGCATATTTGCAAGGGTAAGATTGCGTACCAGGATTGCCCTCACCCTACTCTCGCTAGTCGGGGTTTAATGGGGAGTGATTTTGGTTTATTCACGTGGTTGTGGTTGTGTTTGTGTACTATAGAAAAAAAAAGGAGTTGTCATCATGAAGCATGTATTCCACCAATGTTTATTTTCTTTAACTGGAAATGTCTGTAAATTCAATGCCCAGTGCACTTGTACCCTGTCAACTTGGAGAGAAAATTGTGAATTATCCCACACGTCCAGTGGACACCTCAGTTGATCTTGAAGGAACCAATCTGCCACCTTCACAATCGGTATGCAATGGTGATTGAAATTTCGTTGACATTATATCATTCTACACTGCAATTGTAGAGACTTAAATTATCATGGACCCATCTCTATATTGCAAAGTCTCATTATAGATTTAAAATTTTCATAGAGCAGGGGATATCTGAATAGTGAGTGATATGATTCAATTTTGTCCTTAAACCATCTTTTAATGGAGTGTTATTATAGGCTTAAAATTAGCAGATAATAGAGAAATGAAGGTGCTCAATTTTTTATGGATAAGGAAGTACTTTAAATTGTAAAGTACTGCATATTTAGAGAAGTGAAGGATTATTTTCAACTTTTTGATGTACCTTGAATTCTGTACATTCAATTTATGTTAAGACTTTGGGTTCAGCACCTTCAAATGGTGGGTGGGTTAGTTGATGGCCTCCTCTCTATGGCCACACTCATCTAAACAATATTTGCATGCTTGTTTGGTGTACAGAATACAAAGAAATTGAAGATGATGTGGGTATCCTATACGTTATAGCAGTTGGGTTTTCTATTGTGTAAAAGTCTTAAGGTTCATCAGTTTTATGAGATGAACAGGAATTATATTGTATAATCATGAATTACTTTTTTTATGAACAAATACTTACTAGATGTTAAGGAAATGATACCTTGTAAATAGGCAATATACTAGGAGGAATCTATGAGGACGAAAAGGAAGGGGGGGGGAGGGAGTAGACGTGAAGACTCATACAAATAAATTTATTTCTCTGGAAGACATTACTTTGAAATTAAATTGATGAATGAATGAAGCTCTGGCTGAGAAATTTTAACAAGAATTTCTATTCTGCACTTCGAGACTCCCTCTATTCACTTTTATAAAAACCTTCCTATTACCTTCCAAGGAAATAACTTGTTTTAGCTTATCCTTTTGTCTCCAAATTGATAGCAAAAAAATGATCATTTGTGAGAGGATAGACTGAATTACCTCGGTTGATCCTAATCTGATGCAGTTCATTTTATGTTACTTCAGTTTCAGATAGTGGGACTACATTGAGCAAATCTAGGTGATGATTAACATTAATAATTAATAAAGTTTAATGTCATCATGTTTATGAACAATTTTATTTTAGCCTATTGATTCACTTGTATTCACTTACTCATATATGGTCAGGATAATTTTACATCAGTGTAATTACACTCAACTTTAGCCGTTGATCCCACTTATATCTAACAACTATAATTTATTATATGTATGAGCCATTGGATAGAAGTGATTCAATGGCTAAGGTTGGGTGTAGGACTTCTTATTCTTACACCAGTGTAAGTTGATCCTACTCCTATATATATATATAGAGGTAGGATCCTTTGATACCAGTGTCAAATTTGAAATTTGACACTTCATCTGAGAGCCGTTGGATCAAAAAAGATCAATGACTCAGATTTGTAAACATGTGACACCATTGATCTTTTTGATCTAACGACTATCAGATGAGGTGTCAAGTTTTAAATTTGACACCGGTGTCAAATGATCCTACTTCATATATATATATATATATATAATATGCTAAGTGGACTTTGTACATTTGATATTATTGTTCCTTATTGAAATTTAAGTTGCCTTGTTTGGAAAAAAAAATGCCCATTCATAGTATAGAATGGTTTTATACTCGCTTGTGCACAAGCATATACATGTGTAAACATCCTCTACTTCAGTTTTTGATGTGTATATTTATTTCTTATTTCTATGAGTCAGATGACTGCAGTATCTGGAAGCATGGCTGGTGCTCATGGGTCAAATAAATCTGTCCCTCGGCCAATGAATGTTGTTGGCATGCAAAGAATGCCACCTCAGGCTATGCCAACTTACAATCTCACTTCTCAGGCAGCAATGGGTGGCGGAATGAATCCTGGGACTATTCCTAAGCAACGAGGTGTTCCACAGGCCAATCAGCAACAGGTTTAGTGCATCTTGGGAAAGGGGGCAGGGGTTTAACTTCTTGTCTTTTTTCTGTGAATGAGATGTTCAATTTTGCTTCGTTAAACAGTTGAGAAGGAAAGATCAAATGGGGATGCCGGGATACCCTCCACAACAGAAGTCAAGACGTATATAAGGTAATGCAGTTATTGCACCACTTATTTATGGTAATAGTGGTGATGGTGATAGCTGTCGTAGAGATGAACTAGACATTTCATTGAACCGGGCCTTTGAGGTGGGAATCCGAAAAATCTTCTATTGGTATGACTAATGAATGTTAACAATTGTCTTATATTTTGTGTGAGCGATTTTTATGGGTAATTGATGTTCATGAGAGTTCTATGTGAAATTTTAAATTAAGCTTGGAATTCTTAGATTCTTGTCTAAGGTTTGTGTAAAGTATTTGAGAAACTTGAAATCAAGCGTAACCTGATCCACCTCTTTACTAGTCAGGTGTTTTTGGGTTGTAGCAAACATCTAATTGTATATATAATGTTCTTCATCTTTTATAGTGGCTGTCAATAGTATTGGTCCTGTTGGAATTCTTGAAGTAATAGTTGGGAGACTCCTCTATATTTGCTTTAAGCTGAAATACCTTATCTCGTGTTTATGTTTCTACTGGTAGAACAAGTGAAGATAGATATGGGGTCAGCACTTGGGTACCGGAACTCATGAAGGACATTTCAGGACAGATATTTTGCCTTCAATGCTTTCAGATCTCACTTCTTTATTGTTGTCGGAGCTTTGTTGCATTGTTCACTGGAATTTTGATGCTAACATATGAACTATAATGCTGGAACACCAATGGAGGAGCCCATGGAAGGGGAATAAACATGTGAAAGGTTTGAGCTACTGCAAGCACATGTATATCCTGGTTATAGCTGTGTAATTTTCTTGTATTTTCTCAGCGTTTAGGCAAGACCCATGTTTGTAGGCCAAATGCTAGACAACCTGTAGGTTTTCATAATGGAACTTTTCATGATTAAACCTATAATATGCTGCACTCGTAGTAGAGTATTGCTTCATGTAATTGAAGAAAGTACAATGTTACTTGCCTGAAGTATTTCCGTTTTGTTTTTTTCTTTGATCAGTGGAATGAGACTACTTTAGACTAAAATTTAACTAATAAGTAATTATTATGAGAATCTTTTTTAAATAAAAAAAAGTTTCATTTTATCTGCAGTTACTGCAGATAAATTATCTGCAGTAAGTCCAATACGACGTCGTTTTGGGGACAAAAATCATGGTGTTTTTGTAATTTTAATTTATTTCAGGGTTATTACTTATTATAGTCTTTATAATTATAATTTTTTAATTTTCAATCTCAAAACGACGTCGTTTTAAAAATAAATGCAGATAATTTATCTGTATTAATTGCAGAAATATTTTTCTGATAAAAAAATTACAGTTAACTACATTTTTATTTATTTTTTATTTGTGTTAATATTTAGAGACCAATTTTTATAAAAATTTAATTTTTGCAAGTATGTTAGTTTTTTTGGAAATTGTTCGATTCTCAGATTGAATTTAGCTTTCCATTCTGATCCGGATATAATATAGGCCCAAACAGGGCCCAATAACACATAGAAGTCCAAACCCATTAAGGTCCCAGAACGAGGCATAAAGGACAGACACAGACAAGGTAACCCTATCGCGACACACCTGCACGATGCCATATCGCGGAACACCAGGCGCGATGACCTCACCACGACACACAAGACGTACTTAAACACCTTGCAACAGGGTACATTCTACAGACAGTAAACTTAAGGCCAAGGCAACGCCACCGCGCCCTCAAACCAGTAAGCAACGGACAGCTCCAGCTCGCCGTAATTCTACTACTAGACACCATGGCGGTAAGCTCCTCAACATTTAAACCATGTCAGCTAGGGGTGAAACTGGGTCGGGCTGGCCTACAGGGGCCTACGGCTCGGCCTACATCAGGCTAGACCTGACTTAGTATATTTTGTATAATAGGTCGGGCTCAGGCCTTAAAAAAGCTTGTTTAATAAAAAAGCCGTAGGCCCACTTTGAAAAGGCTGGACCTATAAGCCTACAGGCCGGCCTATATTGTACTATTTATTTTAGATAAAATAAAATATAGTAAGTATGCCTTGAAGAAAAAAAAAAGATATAAATTTAATCAAACTCAATTATTTATAACTTAATTATATTCGATTATATTTTAATAGAAATCTTACTTTATTTCTTATATAGGAGGAACCAACATCTCAACATGTTAGATTGTGTATATGAATATATTAAAAGATTTTTGGGAGAGGTTATTCTTACTACAAGCATCATGATGTGTTTGTTGGATTCATGTAGTTATTTTAATTTACATAGTATGGATTTGTTTGTTGGATCTGATGAAATATATGTTATTTAGTTTGAGCATTTTGCTTTTGAAAATGACTTAAATGCATATTGTGTAAGTTCTGTTATGATTCATGATTATGTTTGGACGTTGAAATTATGATTTTTGGTGTAACAACAGAATTTGAGTACTTTGTAAAGTTGATTCATGGTTCTGTTTGGAAGTTAAATATTAACAGGCTAACGGGCCAAGCCAGGCCATTTGTTTTTTTATAAACGGGCCAAACCAGGCTAACAGTTAGACTCGTACTAGGCTTGGGCCAGGCCAAATTGAAATTTTTTGACGTAGGCTTGGGCTTTTCGGGGCAAAACTTAGCTCAGCCCAGCCCACTTTCACTCCTAATGACAGCCACACTACGTTGGCTCCAAGGAACCTTTGCCTACACCATGAAGAAAGGCATCCTCCAAGCACACATCTCTGCTACTGTATAAACATACGATGTACCACCAAGGTACTATCATCGTTTACTTTCACAACATAAACACCTGCCTCTGATACTGACTTAAGCATCAGAGTATCTTCGCAGGTACCCCCATTTGGTGCAACGCGAAGGACGAAGGACAAAGAGCTTAGGCTCACCCCAGCTGCAATTCCAGGCCCAGGCCAGTAACCACAGAAAGAGTCTCAACCGTGTGTGATTTGGATTTAGTACGTATTGGGCTCTCCCTACCGTATTTGGTCCGATCACGTTCCCTTTTCGATAGTGCGTTAATTGACTTTCCTAAAAGAAAAGGGAAAAATAAGTCTAATACAAATTAAAAAAATAAAAAATAAAAAATTGAAGACGATTGTGTTTTTGAAAAAGACAAAATCAACTGGATGTCTTGGGTGTTTTGAGCTGCAAACAGCGGGAATTATCTTCGTGTAAAAGGAACCCGAACTGGATGTGAATAATGTATGACAAGAAAGAACGACAACAAGTATGAAATAATCAGAGGATGACGTATAGTGGGCAGCATGGCTGGAATTTTCAAAATAAGCGTCGGCTTTAACATCCCTTAATTTTTTTTATTTTTTTTTACCATATTCTATATTTTAAAATTATAAATTTTATTATAAAAATTACAATCTTAAATTTTTTTAAATCAAATAATAAAATTGCAGACTTTTATTATAAACTCTAATCAATTTGTAATTTTAAAAAATAACACGAACATAGAGAATGACAATTTAAATCCTTGATTATCTTAATTATTAATATTTAGTTATTAATATATAACTGAAATTTTTTATCATTAATTTATAACTGAATAACTGAAATTTTTCAGGTAGTATAATTAAATAAAAATAGACATAAAAAATATATTCCCAATCCGATTAAGACAAACACAAGGTATAAAGCTCAAACCAATATAACGTACGCCGTTTAAAGCTTAAAAAAAGGCGCTCATAGTCAAATCGGCAATCCAATTTGTTTCGGTGCACCTTGTCGCAGCATTTTTCTTCCTGTGCGCCGTGTCCAACATTTCATTTACGGGTTTGTATTCATTATTTAACATGATCACAAATTTTTTTACACACACAATATTTTGTAGGACCCGTATATTTTGAAAAAAAAAATTAAGGCACGCAAAATGAATCTTTATAACATAATATAATCATTTTTACTACGACATAACTCTTATAAAACTTTTAATTTATTCGCTTTTTGTTTTGTTTTGTTTTTAATTAAAAAAGTCTTCAGACAGAAAATAAATAAAAGAAAAGAAAATAATAATTTAAACTTAGGTTAAATAGCTTATTATATTTTAGAAATACCATATAACCATAATATAAGGCACGCAAAATGAATCTTTATAACATAAAGTAATCATTTTTACTACGACATAACTCTTATAAAACCTTTAATTTATTCGCTTTTTGTTTTGTTTTGTTTTGTTTTGTTTTTAATTAAAAAAGTCTTCAGACAGAAAATAAATAAAAGAAAATAAAATAATAATTTAAACTTAGGATAAATATTATTTAAAAAAACTGAATCCTTAACTACTTCAGAACAGAAAAAGAAAAGTAGCTTATTATATTTTAGAAATACCATATGACCAGAGCCCATAGATTATGACTGTCATTCAAAGCTACCCTTCCGAGAAGAAAGGCACATGGTCCTTGTCATAGACAGCTTCTAGTTCTGCCATTTATTTTTATAATCTGGTCCACTATTATCATTATATATACTAAGGGAATAAATATCATTGGAAAATTTGATGATGTGTCACTCCCTCCTTCAATTTCACCAATGTGTTCACACTTCAAATTTTTTGAAAACTTTCTTCTTTTGGAATTTTTCTTAAATCGAAAATAAATATTAATTAAAAAAAATAAAAAAAATTCTTATCTTAATGGAGTCAAGCTGAATTAAAGTTTCACTACTTTATACATGGGTAATTGTTATGTGCATTTAATGTTTAAATGTAAATTTAAATGATAGTACGCTGCACAATGAAAGAAGTTCAGAGACTTTTCATGTCCATTTTGAAAAGTGTGTATATATATCATTATCATTATATATACTAAGGGAATAAACATCATTGGAAAATTTGATGATGTGTCACTCCTTCCTTCAATTTCACCAATGTGTTCACACTTCAAATTTTTTGAAAACTTTCTTCTTTTGGAATTTTTCTTAAATCGAAAATAAATATTAATTAAAAAAAATAAAAAATTCTTATCTTAATAGGGTCAAGCTGAATTAAAGTTTCACTACTTTATACATGGGTAATTGTTATGTGCATTTAATGTTTAAATGTAAATTTAAATGATAGTACGCTGCACTGCCAAATGGTGATTCAACATAGATTCTACATCTTGGAACCAAGCCAATTTTGGGGCAGCTTTGTGATAATGAAACCAACCAGCAAAAAGCATTAAGGCTGCAAAAACTAACGCACCGATTGCGGTACAATAGAGTTGTAATTCACTAGTTATAATGGGATTAGATACCCCAGTAGTCCTAGCCGTAAACGATGGATACTAGGCGCTGTGCGTATCGACCCGTAACTTGGTTAGCATTTCTAGAACAAATTAAGTAGGGTGGGTTGGTGATTATATTTCAGTCAAAGGAAAGGGGACTGTTGCAATAACAAGTTGCTCAGGTACAAAGTTTATTCCTGATGTCCTTTTTGTACCCGAAATTCAACAAAATCTGTTGAGTGTTGGCCAATTGATTGAAAAAGGATTCAAAGTGCTTTTCGAAAATAGAGTTTGTCTCATTCACGATGAGAATGGAAAGGAAATCATCAAAGCAAAAATGAGAGGCAAGAGTTTCTCATTTGAACCAATCAAGGAAGAGCAAGCTGCACCAATCAAGGAGGAGCAAGCTGCTATTTCCACAGAGGAGAATGTGACTGAGACTTGGCACAAGAGACTAGGCCATTGTCACCTCTCAAATATGTTGTTGATGAAGAAGGAGCTTTCAGATGATTTACCAACCTTTGCAGATTATTTACCAACCTTTGCAAATTGTAATGCCTTTCAATTTGGCAAACAAAACAGAAATTCATTTCCTAAGTCAAGTTGGAGAGCCTCCAATAAGCTGCAGTTGATCCACTCAGATGTTTATTTTCATGAAGATAAGAAGTGGAACTGGAAACAAGCACAAGAGGCATCCATGAGTAAGCAGAAATCAGATCCTCTCATCCAAATAAGCAAAGAGCAAGGAGTGGAACATTGGCAAGAAGAGTTAGAAGATGAC